AGTGGGGCATTGGCAGTGGGGCATTGGGAGTGGGAGTGGGTGCGCGGCGTGGTGGGAGCGAGTGAATTGTTGCATCTCAATGCACCGTGCATTGATGCAGCTGATCTGGTGCCTGCATCACTGCTCCCCGTTCCGCAGTATCTCGATCGATTACCCTGAGTATCCCCGTTCTCCCCATTATCCCCATTACCGTCACCTCCCCGTTTCCCCCATCACCCCGTTCACCCCATCTCCCCGTCCCCCGCATCGCCCCGTCCCCCCCATCGCCCCGTCCCCACGTCACCTCCATGGCCTTTTTCTCCCCATCATCATCCTCATCCCCATCCCCATGCACCTGGGCGGTGTGCGTGCAGTGCGCGCGCTGGTGCAGCTGCAGGAGGCGTGGCGCGCGTGGGCGGGCAACAGCAACGCCACCACGGCGTGCTCTGCGTGGGCTGGCGTCACCTGCAGCCCCAACGGGGCCGTCGTTGCCCTGTGAGTCGCATGGGGGCTCGTCACTGCCCTGTGTGCGAGTGGGTGGCTGGCTCGACATCGTGCAATGCGTGCATGGATGCATGTGTGTGTGCGCACAAGCGTGTTCGAAAGATACCCATCCATGTGTGTGTGTGTGTGTGTGTGTGTGTGTGTGTGCGCGCGTGTGTGCGTGTGCGTGTGTGTGGGTGTGGTTGGGCGGGCGGGCGGGTGGGTGGGTGGGTGATTGGGTGGTTGGGTGGGCGTGGTGCGCGTGCGTGCATGTGTGCGTGCGTGTGTGTGCACGTGTGTCTGTGTGTTTGCGCACGCATGCGCACGTGTATGTGTGTGCGCTTGTGTGCGCATGTGTGTGAGCGTGTGTCCATGTGCATGCGGTCGGTCGGGTTTTGGGCTGTATGTTTTCGTGCGCATGCATGCAAGCATGTGTGTGAGTGTGCGTGTGTACATGCATGTAAGTGTGTGAGTGGTATGTGCTGTGCGCGTACACATGTGAGTGAGTGCATGTGTGTGTGAGTGCATGTGTGTGTGAGTGCATGTGTGTGGGAGCGCATGTGTGTGTGAGTGCATGTGTGTGTGAGTGCATGTGTGTGGGAGCGCATGTGTGTGTGAGTGCATGTGTGTGTGAGTGCATGTGTGTGTGAGTGCATGTGTGTGTGAGCGCATATGTGTGTGAGCGGATGTGTGTGTGAGCGCATGTATGCCCTGGCAGGGACTCCAAGGCCTTTACCATGGATCCTCCTCCCACTGGCACCATTCCTGCTGCCATCACCGACCTCGCCGCTCTTCAATACCTGTCCGTCCGCGCCTCCCCCTCCCTCTGCCCTCTGCCCTCTGCCCTCTCCCCCTCCCGCTCCCTCTCATCTTGCCTGCACCATCGTGCCTTCTTCTCTTCCTTTGCTCATCCCATCCCTGGCCTCCGTTCAAGTTTCTCCCATTCAATTCCTCCTTGTGCGCTGCTGCCCCAATACAGTGTGCATTGTACTTCCTGCTTCCACCACTCCCTTTTCATGCTTCCCCTGCAAACTCACTTGACCTTACCATCCATCCCTTCCCTCCCTCCCTCCCCCTCCCCACCCCCTCTCCCACTTCTCTCTTCCTGCCCATCCCTTGCTCTAGAATTTGATTTCTTGTTCCCCCCCCTCCCTCCCCCTCCCTCCCACCCAACCCGCCCCACCCCCCGCCCCCCCTCGCCCACTTTTCTCTTCCTGCCCGTCCCTTGCTCTAGAATTTGATTTCTTGTTCCCCCCTTCCCTTCCCCTCCCTCTCCCCTCCCACCCCCCCCCCCTCCTCGCCCACTTCTCACTTTTTGCCCATGCGTTGCTCTAGAACTCGATTTCTTGCATTTCTATGTAAATTCCTTCCAAGATTTCTGCAGACCTTGCACTTTCTGCAAGCACTGTACGAGCTTCTGCAAATTCCTTGCAAATTTCTAGAAACCCCTTTTCTATTTTCCGCGCATCCCTTGCCATTTTCTGCGAAACCCTTGCAAATCTCTGCAACCCCCTCGCCATTTCCGGCAAATTCCTTGCAAATGTCTGCAGAGACCTAACGTACGGCATCAACCTGGAGGCCCCGTGCCATCCCTCTCACCTCTCACCCGCCTCACTTACCTGTACGTCTCACACCCTCCTCTCCTCTCCTCTCCTCTCTTCTCCCATCACAAGAAACACACCTCACATCCCCTCACAGCCCTTCACCGCCCCTCCCACTCGTCGCGCCTACCACTGCAGCTTGTGTGGCGGGGCTGACTTGACCTCGTGCAGTGCATTGACTCACCATGTTCATTCGCCTCCTTCGTTTGTGGCCCCGGCCCCCCATGCAAACTTGCTGGCACATTCCTCCCGTTTCCGTTCTCGTTTTCGCCATTACATACTCTCCACATGACCCATCCTCCGCTCCCTTCCTTGTATGTGCTGCATGGTTCTTGCATGTGCTGCATGGGTCTTGCATGTGCTGCATTCCCCCCTGTTTGTGCCCCTCCCCCCTGCACATGCCCCTCCCCCCTGCACATGCCCCTCCCCCCCTGCACATGCCCCTCCCCCCTGCACATGCCCCCCCTCCCCCCTGCACATGCCCCCCCCCCTGCACATGCGTGCATCGCTCCCTACAGCGCCCTGGGAGCAGACGGCTGCTTGCTCACCGGCACCGTCGACGACCTCTCGTGGCTCTCCTCCCTCTCCGCCCTGCACACACTGTAAGCCCATTCCACTCCACTCCACTCCACTCCACTCCACTCCAACCTCTCCACTCCACTCCACTCCACTCCACTCCACTCCACTCCACTCCTCTCCACTCCACTTCAATCCGCTCCACTCCACTCCACTCCACTCCACCCCAGCATTGCTGTGGATGGATGGATGGATGGATGGATGGATGGATGGATGGATGGATGGATGGATGGATGGATGGATGGATGGATGGATGGATGGGGATGGATGGATGGGATGGATGGGATGGGGTGGGGTGGGATGGGATGGGGGGGGGTGGGGTGGGGTTGGGTGGGGTGGGGTGGGGTGGGGTGGGGTGGGGTGGGGTGGGGTGGGGTGGGGTGGGTGGGCCTCAACCTGTTCTTTCATGCACAGGAATCGCAGAAAACAATCTCACCTCCTTCCTCTAAACACAGCGCCCCCCCCCCCCCCCCCCCCCACTCCTCCTTCATCCCCCCTTTCCTCCCTTTCCCTTCCCCCCGTTCTCCATGTCAGAACCTTGCCCACTTTAGGTCGCATTTCCTCCTCCTCCTCCTCCTCCTCCTCCTCCTCCTCCTCCTCCTCCTCCTCCTCCTCCTCCTCCTCCTCCTCCTCCTCCTCCTCCTCCTCGCTGCCACACACACACACACGCCACACTACCCCAGTATCCCCTGCATGCAGCATCCACCTTCCCCCCTCGTGCTGCCTGCCACCATCCCTCCTCCTCAACCTTCCACCCCACTCCTCCCTTCATGTCTCCCCCTCCCTCCCTCCCTCCCCCCACCACGCACCACCAGGCACCTGAGCGCCCTGGCGGAGGTCACAGGGGACCTCCCTTCCTTCGCCATGCTGTCGCACATCGACACCCTCCAGGACCTGTGAGCAACCTGACGGCATGCATTCATTCATGCAAGGCAAGCAATGCAAGCAAGCACTCTTGTGATAGTACGTTTCACTGGTGGTGCAACGTTAGTTGAGCGTGCATGCACCCGAACGTGCATGTGCATGTGCATGCCTTTTGACTCAATCCTCTCGTCTGTGTTTTCTGACCTTGACGTGGCTCCTGCTCAAGATGCCTGCATCCATACCATACCAGCGTATACCATGCAATGGTATCAACACAGCCGTGCTGTACCTGGGCTTTAACTGGCACCAACCGGCCTGCTTCCACGTTGCATGGGTGCGCTGTGCTGTGCTGTGCTGTGCTGTGCAGCATGCTTCGAGGCTTCAGCGGGGCCACAGGGGAGATCCCCAGGGAGATCCGCTACATGACTGCCCTCACTGCACTGTAAGCTGCTGCACCGCACATGCTTGCTTAATCTCAATCGACTCCATCCATCCACTCCACATCACGTCACACTGTTTTCATTTCGCCCACGCTACACACACGCGGCAGGCGAGCGATTCACGACAAGTGAGCGGTGACGAGGTCACTGTGCTGCACATCGCACCAAGCCCATGCTTCTCTGCATTACGTGCTAGGGATGAGCAAAAAAACGAACACAGGCGAACCGAACAGGTTTGTTTTCTTTGCTTAAAGTGTTCGCCAAACAGTGTTCGAGGTTCGCCCGTACACGTTCGTGTTCGGGCCGCTGCTGCAATTTGCCCCGTGACGAACACGAACGTGTTCGAGTTTCGCCCGAACACGCCTTCACAGGCGAACGGCGAACACCTGTTTTTGCTTTAAGTGTTCGCCGAACCGAACACTGTTCGGTTCGGCAAACGGATGTGTTCGTGTAGGGGCGAACACAACATGTTCGTGTACACACGCACACACCATGTGGCCCGGCCACCATATCAAGCCCAGACACTGTGTCCCGTGCAGTGCACACTCTATGTGCCATACCATACCACTCAACTATGGCTACCATAATCTCAATTTGGTGGTCCCTCGTTGCAGTGCATCTATGGTGCGGCTCAACTCAGTTGTACAAGCGCCTGCCTGCCGTCTACCCTCCCCTCCTCTCTCCCTGATGACACACGTTTCCTTGCCCCCATCCCTGCAGCGACCTCTCGTATCTCCGTGCCATGGAGTTCCCCAACTGGGTCACCCACCTGTCCAACCTTCAGTCCCTGTAAGCTGCTTGCTTGCCTTGCCTATTGCGTTGCGCCTACTTGGTCGGGCCATTCATGGCACTAGGCAAGGTGGCATGGCACTAGGCAAGGTGGCATGGCACTAGGCAAGGGGGCATGGCACTAGGCAAGGGGGCATGGCACTAGGCAAGGGGGCATGGCACTAGGCAAGGTGGCATGGCACTAGGCAAGGTGGCATGGCACTAGGCAAGGGGGTATGGCACAGCCTTGATTCTTGATGCCCTCGTGTTGCGCAGTCGTCACAATATTAGAGCTCCCCATCAGTCCTCCTGCTGCTGCGCTGCTCATGAGCGTTGCTGCTCTGTTGTATCTCTCATCACCATTCCCCTCAACTGCCATGTTTGCTTCTCCTCGCCCGCATGCAGGAACCTGAACACGGATGAGCCGCGGCGACAGGGCCTGCTGGCGGAAGACATGTCCGAGCTCACAGCACTCACGCGCCTGTGAGTGCAAAGAGTTGCAGAGGCGGCATACAGTGGGATGCAGGGGCATGCAGTGGGGTGCAGGGTCGGGCAGTGGGGTGCAGTGGCTTGCAGTGGGATGCAGGGGCGTGCATGAGCATGGTCTCCCACAGGGCCTTCCTGTGCTGGATGGGCTCTGGATTAAGGCCATTCAACCCACTGATAACATGTACCTCTGCCTCTGCCTCTGCCTCTGCCTGTGCTGTGCAAGTCAAAATGGTACCCGTCTCTTCAGGCATGAAAGTCCTCGTAACTCCCTTGGACCACACTGCAACCCCCTTGTAAACACAGATCACTGTTTGGCAACAATCTGGAAGGTTCCCTGCTCAAGGGCTGGTCCACTCTGGTTAACCTGGCTGACCTGTGAGACCCCGCCTATCGTGCTGTGCCGTGCTGTGCCGTGCTGTGCCATGCTGCCATGCTGCAGGCATGAGCAAAGAAAACTAGCCTCAAACCAAGCTGCGGCCCCTTGTTTGCCTACCCGATTCGCGCCGAGCCATGCCGCTGTAATCATTGCCATGAACCTCCTCCATCCACTCTTGATTCATTCCACTATGTACCTACCAGCCTACATGATTTAGCATTTGTTAAAAGGTGGAAAACTTGCTTACTTGCATCGCATTCTCGTAGTTTGGGGTAACTGTTTAGCTTGTGCTGAGTTGCTTTAGAAACTTTCCAAAGTTAGGGTTAATGATGGAGTGGATAAGATTTTATCAGGAGCAAGGCAACCTACCTAGTTTTCGCACTTAGGCCTCATCTCTTCGGGTATCTCCCCGTCCCCAACAATATCAGACAAGTTGAAGTCAGACGTCACTCACTCGCGAGTCAAACCACTCGACGCACTGCTCATTGAACCACCCTCTCACGCATGCCCACTTGCCTTTACATACTCCATTCCACTCCACTCTGTCACTCCTCCCATGTACACTGATTTGAAAACACACACTAAACATTGTCGTTTTCTCCGTGTTGCAGTAATCTGGGGTTCAACCATCTTCAAGGCACAATACCGGCAACGTTCTCTGCCCTCACAGCCCTCACTGCACTGTATGCCCGCGCTCCTTCCAATCAACTCCACCCAACCCGTGGCTTGCCTGACCAGCATAATGCCCCACCAGAGAATCTTGACATGACCTGATGACACCTAATCCTTGAGAGAGAGAGAGAGAGCTAGGTCTTGTCAATATTTTCCTGTGTAGGATCTCTCCACTCCACTGCAAGTGACGTGTGGTGTATTGTTCCCCACTGGTTCACAAGTCTTCCTATCGCTCGCCTACCGGCTCTTTCTCTCCGCCTACCTTCCTGTATCTCCTGTAAGGTGCAGCCTCATCTTCTGGTGCCTGCAACTGAGCCCAGCGGTATTTTAATGTGGTTTGACTTTTGAGGCGCCTCAAACAGCGGTATCTGAATGTGGTTTGCAGTGCCCTAAGCGAGCGTGACACATGAACCCCCTCAACTCATATTTGCTGGCTCAATGGCTGCCTAAGCTCCTTCTCATTCACACCTCCTATTCGTGCCTCGCCGCGCCTCCAGCAGTCTAGTCCTGTTGTTTTCCGCCATTGAGCTGGCGGGCATGTGAGCTGAGCAGCATTGCAAGGAGAACATCGTGAGGCCAACCAGTATGTTTCCACCCCCACACGCATCCCTCGATCCCCGAGCACACTTAATAACGGAGACACGGCAATCGCCTAGGTGTTAAGTGGATTGGCATGGTACCTGCATTCACCCACTCTTGTCTTTCCCATCCTCCTCTCCTCGCCCTGTCCCATGTTTTGTATTCTGCTTCCAATTGCCTCTCTCTCACGAGCAGAGACCTGTCGTGGAACTATCTCTTTGGTACAGTACCTCCTGTCTTCAGCTCCAATGTCAATTCCATGTGCGTATTACTCCTACTCTCTATTCCCCCCTCCCCCCCCCCCCCCCCCCCCGCCTTCCCTTCCTCCTCCTTCTCCTCTCTCTTCTCGGGCTCTGCACTGCGCTCCCACCAACTAACTCCTCCCTCCAGTGCCTCTTGCCCTCGCCTTCCTGCTTTAATCATCTTTTCTGTTTCATTTCCTCTTCGTTACATCCTCTCCTCCCACTCCCCCCCAACCCCCCCTCCCCCCTCCCCTCCTACCCTTCAACTTACATGCACTCACCCCCCTGTCTCGCTCTGCCTCTATGACTGCTGCATGCATCCTCCAGTGCGCATTCAGCTCAACGGCCATTCATTGAATGTTCCGATTCGATTCCCTACCAACCGGCCCTCAGCGCATTTGTGCATTGCTTACCTTCACCCAACCCGCACCGTACCTTGCCCTGTCCTGCACTCTGCCTCTGACCAGACTGCTTGGATACAACGCCTTTGACGGGCCCATCCCACCACACCTGGCACTGCCCAGCTTGACCCAGCTGTGCGTTTTATTCTACCTCTCTCTCACCTTGCATAGCTAGTTTCGGGGAACTTCAACTCAATTACCACGCCTCTCCTCAACTGCACTCATCCATACACTCGTCTCTGCACTCGTCTCTGCACTCGTCTCTGCACCTCTTCCATGGATGGTTGGTGCCTTTGCCTGTGCTGCCGTTTTTGCCACTTGTCCGACTGCCCTGGGCCTCTATCTAGGTAAGACAACAACGAGGTACGGCTATTCTGCTCACCTAATACCCGACTCCTCTCGTTTTCAGCTGTTGTGTCAAGTTGTATGTCTTAGCCTGTGCTGTGCATGCGGTGCTGTGCTCGTCTCCTGTGCGTGCAGCCAGCTGTCCAACAATCAGTTCACAGGAGGCATCCCCAGCGCATTCACCAGCCTCACCGGCATGGCTGCTCTGTACAATCTCCTTCCCTCACAGCTCTGCACGTCCCCCTCTCCACTCCTTCACTGCATTTGCCTGCTGTCTACCCTTGCCTTGCCTTGCTTCGTTGGCACTCGCCCCTCACTCACTCACTCACGACTCACTCACGACTCACTTACGTACCCTGACTGACCCATTTCCATTGTGTCTGCTGCTGGATGGAATGTCACATTTTCCACCCAATAAGTTTTGCATAAGCGAATGCATTGGCAATGCCTTTTGCATGCAGTGGATACGGTTGTGGTTTGCTCGTCTTTTATGCCACTCACCCTGCCTTCCCATCCCATCATTGCCCCACACACCACCTCACCACGCAACACCACACAACCCCACCCCACACCACACCACCCCACCCCTCACCACCCCTCACCACACCACAGGGATGTGTCCAACAACAAGCCTCAGCTCAGGCCTGGACGTGGTGGCTCAGATGACATGGCTCACAGACGTGTGAGTGCTCTCTGCTCCTTCTCTGCCTCACCCTTGGCCCGCGTGCTTCCTCCTTGCTCCCTGCTCAACTGCTATGACTCTGTCACGTTAATCTGTGGTATTCTCTGCCCATCTCATCCGAGCCGCTCCCTGCAATATGTTGACCCCATGCATGCATGCATGAATGCAGGGTGCTCCATACAAACAACTTCTCCGGTGTGCTGCCCATGGCGTTCTCAGGGATCGAAGGCCTCTCATCCATGTGAGCCATGCTGCATCTGCCATGCATGGTCACACCAATGCACCGATGCCTGTTTGCTCACAATTGCAGCCGTCAAGAGATTCCACTGCTCGCTTTATTACACGAATTTACTACACTAGACAGGGTGCCGTGGGTGGTGCTATCCTTGTATCGTATGCTGTTCCAGAAGACCTTGCATGTTAGGGATGAGCACGAGGCGAACACGAACATGTTCGCGTTCTCTTTGGCTCTAACAGGGCCGTTCGGTGTTCGCCATTGTGTTTGAACATTTCGAACACAATGGCGAACACGAACATGTTCAACAGGAACATGTTCGTGTTCGCCCCTGAGGGCTTAGCATTATAAAACACTGCCAATGCATCCCGCTGGTAGGGTTTTCAGTTTGGTATTGTTTTGCCTTACCTTTGCCGTGTTTATAATAACTTTGATGAGCATGAATAACGTGCGGCATAGAACGTGTCCATAGTCAAAGGACTACCAAAGGGTCCCTCCATAGCCCACCAACAAAATCAAAACTACATCCCTGTCCCACCCCCGCTACCAACACCACCATCCGCGCCACCTGCTACTGCGTCCGCCCCTCTCCCCTTTGCCGCCTCCTCATCCACCTCCTCCGCCGCCCCCCCCTCCACCTCCTCTCCGCCTCCACCTCCTCCTCCACCACCTCCTCCTCCTCCTCCTCCTCCTCCTCCTCCTCCTCCTCCTCCTCCTCCTCCTCCTCCTCCTCCTCCTCCTCCTCCTCCTCCTCCTCCGCACCCTCCTCCTCCTCCGCACCCTCGCCCTCAAGAGCGATCTCCAATGCTTGCGACCCCTTTCGTGCGGCAGCCCTCGCCGATCCTTTGGCCAGAGTGCGATCCATACCACGATATGAGAATCATGCAAAATCGCGCCCTCTCGGAGTTCAGGCGGTGGCGCTCCTTGCGGCCCAAGGAGAACACGCGCTCGCTCGCAGCAGATGTGGCAGGGATCGCAAGATAATCCCTCGCCATCCGCTTCAGCGTCTCCATGTTCGTGGAGGTGCGCCTGTACTCTAGCGCTGACACGTCGTACCGCACCCTCTCGGACAAGTACCTGCTGACCTCATCGTCCTGCACAGGACCACCCCCCCCCTCGCCGCTTGGCTCGTAGACAGACGCACTGCAAGGCGTCGGCGACTAGGGAGATAAAGGTTGTCCTCGTCATCCCCCCCCCCTCTCCCTCCTCCTCCTCTACCACCGTGGTAAGTGTAATGGGCCTAAGAGCCAGCTCCCTAGCCGCCGCCTGGTACTCGGCCACCCGCTCACGTACTAGCGCGATCACCACACCCGACGCTGGGCGCGGCCTCTCCATCGGCTCCGTCGCGGGATGCTGCGTCTCCCAGTGGGCTATATCTGGGTCGAGGCCAAGAACACAGTGATCGGATTCTCCAACTCAAGGAAGCGGTCGATCATGGCATGAGCCGAACCCCAGCAGGTAGGACTGTCCTGCACCAGCTTCAAGGCTGGTTTTTTTACACGGGTCTGCTGGTTCAAGCCGCGCTGAAGTCCCAAAAACGCCATCGAGCGTTGCGGCGAGTACCCAACCCAGGACACCATGATTCTGAGCACCTTCAACAAGGCGCGAATGACATCCACCTTCAGTCCTGCCTGCACTGCCAGGTTAACCACATGTGACAAGCACCTGCGGATCATAGCACCGTAGGCATGTGATTTGGGAGGTAGTGACACATGGTCTTTGGTTGGCGTGGGGGATTCCAAAAACCCCAAATACACCCACACACACCCACAATGCCGTCTTTGACAAGCCACCCCATTATCACTTCCACACCCACTCATACCTGAAGTGCAGGCGGGAGTTGAAGAAAGCCCGATCACCACCCTCCTTCGACAGGCGCTTGAACGTGGCAATGTTGGCGGAGGCGTTGTCTGTGGTGATTCCCAGACAACGCCCCTCTAACCCCCACATCACCACAATGTCCTCCACGATCTGCGCGATCTGCGTCGTTCCATGACGACCCGTCAGCTCGCGAAACTCCAGCATTGCCTCACGTTGTTGAAACGTCTCGTCGATCCAGTGACCTGTATCAACTAACCAAGCCTTCCCATTGGGTGCAGTCCAGATGTCAATGGTGTATGACACCTTGCATCCCAACTCCCCCTCATTCCCTAGCAGCTCCACCTTGGCAGCATGCAGAGCGGCCACAGCAAACGCCACAGTGTCGCGTGCCACCGTCCAGCGCGAAGGCATGAAGTTGTTATGCCCGCAGTGATGGTTGCACAGGGTCAGAGGCTCGCGAAATTGGTGGGGTGGGTGGAAGGAGTTCACACAACAAGCATGCGTTGGGTTTCGCCTAACAGCGCAAGAATGGCATGGAAAGGAGAGGCGTAAGTGTCCCAACCCAACACCCTCCCCTCAGCATCATGCGCTCGCCGTACCCACACCACAACTATGTTCGGAAAGACGCAGCTAGGACGCTGCGTCCTGCGTCCGGACGCTAGGACGCAGGACGCACGTCGAAAATTTTTTCGGGCAACCCGATTATTTTTTTTCGATCGCGATTTTGGCATTCGCGATTTCGACGCGAATGTCGAAATCGCGAAATTTCCCCACCCCAAACCCAATTCGCCATTCAAAACCAGCCCCCCTTTTGTGGCTTCTCATTTTCCCCTCACCAATTCTCTTTCGTAAACCCATAGAGGTTTTAGGTCTTAGCTTAGCTTACCACCTAAACTCCGCTATGGCTTCCTCGAGCATTCCTTCTTCTTCCACCGCGTCTAAGAGTGTTGATGATGCCGTAGACTCTCCCCCCAAGCGTATCACACCCCCCCCCCCCCCCCTCTCCCAAGCCCTATACATTTTTTTTTTGGCCTGCCCGGGGGTTGTTTTTGCCCTGCCCGGGCTTGCGTCTTTTGGTGCGTCTTACAGGTCCAGGGTCAGCGTCCTGCGTCTGGACGCATGCGTCCAGGACGCAGGACGCGTCTTTCTGAACTAAGCACCACAACGGCCACACCCAGCAGCAGTAAACCCTTACCACCTCAGCCTCCACAATTTTGAAGGGAAGGTCGCAGGTCACCACCAGCTTGACGATTGCGTGACGAAGCTCCACTTCTGACAGCTTTTTTGACATGTAGCTCTTCATCCCAGCCTCGCCAGACCCCTCCGCCCCTCGCCCCTCTGCCTTCCCTCTCTTCCTTGGGATGTTAGGCCAGCTTTCTGCATGCGGCCAATAATATACGTAGCCATCCGGCACTCCGACGTAGTCCCCCCTCGGAAACGTCTCGCCCGGCAGTTGCAGATGTGGATTGTGGCAACGGTGGTACCACACATCCATATGAGCAGTGTGGTAGCTCTCGAAGTGGCGCTCGCCTCGTGTAGGTGTAGATCCCCTCCAAGAAATTCGATCAGTGCAAATCTTGCATTGCCGCTTGTCGTCGGTCCCCTTAGGCCCAAACATATGAACTTGCCACCCTCGCTTCTTCCTCCCCTTGCCATTCCACCTGCTACTCTCGGTCTCTCCCTCCTCGTCAATGAACTCTGGAGCGACCACACCCTCGCCCAAATCCACCCCTCTGAAGGTGCAAGGATACGCTCGTGTTCGCAACTTCTCGGCTTTCTTCTTTCTGTTCCCAATTAACGGCCTCTTTCGCCCAACCTTAACACCGCCACCACCACGCACCCGTCCTCTACCCATGTGCTGAGAGGCCTCTTCTGCGGCAGCCGCGGCAACCCCTCCTCATTCACCAACACCCTCCTCCACCCCCTCAGGCTCTAACCCTTCCATCTCCTCATCTTCATCTCCTCCCCCGTCCCCACCACCACCATGCGTCTCGGGTGTCCACCCCTGCTCACTATCATCACCGCTCCCCTCCTCGTCCTCCTCCTCCTCCTCCTCATTCTCCCCCTCATCGTTATCCTCCTCCTCCTCGTCCGCCTCACTGGCGGTCTGAGTGGTGGTGCGCGTCTGCCCAGCTGAGCGGGGTCGATCACCCGAGTAACGGAACGACAGACGGGTTGACGGCACGGGCATGGACAGAAGCCCACCGACGAAACAAGCACCTCCAGGGCCGTCACCTACTCTACCCTGCATAGGTCCTTGTGCAGATGATGGAGCACTGCCCTGACTACCGCGACCACCCCGCCCTGCACTAACTTGTTGGTGGGAGGCCATTTCCCTCGACGGCCGAAGAAACCTAGACTAGACCCTTGATAGACTGGTGATGCGGCGGCGAGGGGAGGGGAGTGTCACTTTGATGGAGACCTTGACGGTGGAAACCCCTTCAACGGTGGAGACCCCTTTAATGGTGGAAACCCTAATGGTATCCCTCTACTTCAACTTTGCGCTGGGAGTAGATGCTGGCTACCTTCTATTATTAAAACTTGTAAGCATCTCGCCAACACGTGAGAATTGAAACATCTTCCTCACTAGGCTAGTAGTAGTAGGTGAGGGTGTGGGCTGGGCGGCCTGGTGGCAGCGACATGGTCACGGAGCTCTAAAAAATGACCAACACAAGAATTGGCCGCAACCCTAGATTATGCCGTGGCCAATTCGTCGACGTTTACCTCGGTGTTCGTCGATGTACCGCGTCGAACACGAATCGACGCCGTCGAACACCTAACATGTTCGCACGAACAACGAACACGTTCGTGCCGAACATTTTTTGGCAAAAAAAAGCCCGTTCGGTTCGTCTCGAACATGTTCGACCGAACCGAACGGGTGTTCGGATACATGCTCATCCCTATGCATTGCATGTTCCGTGTTGAAGGGGCGTAGGCTGGGCTCGTTTCGTCTTATTCAGTGTCACCGTTTATGGGCCATTATCGAGTGCGGTGCATGAGGGTTTTCCAATCGTCGCCGTGTGAAGTGGACGACCTACCTATCCCGGAGGCGTATGTTTATGCATGTGCATGCGCATACCTCTGCCACCATTCTAACTAAGTGTTGTCTGTGCATGCGTATCATTTGTCCACTCTTTCAACACCTTGGTTCTGCTCTGTGCCAGAAGCATAGCCAACAACCGCTTCTCTGGATCGTTCCCCGAGTCTCTGTTAAAACTGCCAAGCCTTGTTCTAATGTATGCAGCTGGAGGGCTGAGCTGAGGGTCTCGCAAGCGCTCAAATGTATGGATCCAACGTAACACAGCCAAGCAAGAATCTCCACTTTAAGGGTATAAATGTACACATGTGTCAACTCTTTTGTTGTAGCTGACAATTTCCACTGGCAATGGCGGTGGCTGGCTGGCAGGGATCTGAGCAACAACAGTTTCACGGGGTCCATTCCCAAGCGCCTTACGAAGCTTGCTCAGCTGATAGACATGTGAGTTGCGCCGTGTGTGGGAAAGGATTCGCCCCACTCAGCGATTCCTCCTGTATTTGCCCCAACGCAGAGAAAGGAAAATAGAAGAAAAAAGGTTGAGTTGTGAGGTGGGGTGATGTGTGTTTGGACCACGAAACGAAGGGATTCAGGAGGAGAAAATAAGAGTGGATCCATAAGTGGGGCAAGGAGATGAGGCTGGGATGAATCTGTGGAAGGTTGTAAATACTGTTTCCAACTTCCAGACATTCACTGTTGCAGGCTCAGCTGAGGTTATTTCTAAGTCGACTCAAAACATACCGTTTCGTGTCAAGCGAACAGACATTTCCTGGGCATAGAAGCTGAAGTTGATGTTTTTTCATAGATTACTAATTCCTTGTCTGCTTGCTGCTGCCTGGTCTCCTGTTCACGTGGCAGCAACCTGAACAACAACAAGTTCCACGGGGTTATCTCTCCGCGTCTCTTTCAGCTCTCCATGCTCGACTCACTGTATGTAACTTGCTCCTCTCCTCCCCCCTCTCCCTCTCTTTCTCCAAACACCGGGTGCTTGCTTCTGAGTGAAAACAGAAACAACTCTCCTCAAGTGCGGTGTGATCCGTCTGATTCTTTACGTAGTGAACCATCTTAGTGATTATTGCTTCCCCATGGCCCACTGGCAACATATTTCTCTTCTGTTCGCATGAAGGAACCCACCCACTTCTCACACCAATGTTCTATATGAGCAAATACCTGAGATTCTTCACGTCTCCCCCGTTTCCTCATTTGCAAACCGGATACTAGAATCCGTACACGAAGACCACCAATCTGTCTACCTTTCATATTCTTCTCCATACGTAAAACGAATGACTCTCCAGGGCACCTTAGCTCTCCTACTGAATGCAACCCAACCTTTCATTCTCTCCCACATCCGCACCCCTCTGCGGCAGGCAAGTGGCCAACAACTTCCTCTCGGGGGGCCTTCCAGCGTCTCTGCGTGCCTCGTCCTCTCTTAAAACACTGTGCGTGCCGCTGCTGCCACATGCTGTTACTGTTTGCTCTTTTTATTGATTTCCTGTTTTTTATTTAGCTCTGCACCGTCCGATCCACTCTCTCACATGCAGTAGCCTAACCATCCCTTCTCTTCTTTCTCATGCTCTCCCCCTTGTGTGCGTGCGCTGTGCAGTAGCCTGCCAGGAAACGGGTTCACAGGTCCTTTGCCCGACTTCTCGCTCTGGAGTGTCAGCCTCGAGAACCTGTGCGTGTTTCCCCCTCTCTCTCTCTCTCTATCTCTTTCTTTATCAGTCCTTCAATTAGCCATGGTACCAAGTACACAGAAAGGGGCAACACAATCAGGTGAGGCAACGCTACAGCCTACACCAGCCCTCATTCCCTCCAGCGACCCGCCGCCTTCCATTGTGGTGAGGAGGTTCTGCAGTGTAGCGGCAATCAATCACCGTGGGTGTCTTTTTGTCTTCCTCTCTGCACTCGCTGACGCATCTGCACCTGTTTACATGCATGGGGCCGCGTGGACTTACCTTGCGCATCAAGTAAACAGCCTAGTCCATCCATCCACCTTATCGACCCACCTCTCTGAGTCGTTTGTTTCTTACTTGTACCTGCAATACCGTCGCCCATGTTTGTGTGTGTGTGTGTGTGTGTGTGTGTGTGTGTGTGTGTGTGTGTGTGTGCGTGTGTGTGTGTGCGTGTGTGTGTGTGTGTGTGCGTGTGTGTGCGTGTGTGTGTGTGTGTGTGTGTGCGTGTGTGTGCGTGTGTGCGTGTGTGTGTGTGTGTGCGTGTGTGTGTGTGCGTGTGTGTGCGTGTGTGTGCGTGTGTGTGCGTGTGTGTGTGTGTGTGTGTGTGTGCGTGTGTGTGCGTGTGTGCGTGTGTGTGTGTGTGCGTGTGTGCGTGTGTGTGCGTGTGTGTGTGTGTGCGTGTGTGTGTGTGTGTGTGTGTGAGTTGATGCAGGGCTCTCAACCACAACAACTTCACAGGGCCCATTCCGGACTCTATCTCCACCCTCTCCAGCTTGAAGGCCATGTATGTGTGTATGTGTGCGTGCGTGCGTGTATGTGTGCGTGCGTGCGTGTGTGCGTGCGTGCGTGTGTGTGTGTGTGTGTGCGTGCGTGTGTGCGTGCGTGCGTGTGTGTGCGTGCCATCGCTGCTTGAATGTGTGTTCTATCATGCAAACTCGCGCCAACCTACCAATTCATTTTCCACTGCCATCTCAATTCGTACATGATATGATACATACATACTGTCCCCATCCATACCAGCTCAATTCGTGCGCACTGCTGTGTGCGTTTATGATGTGCGTACATCCATACATACCGTACGTACATACACACATACTGTCCCCATCCATACCCGTCTACCATCTCAGTGTACACAACTCTGCCATCGCAATTATGCCGCTGGCACCCACCATCCAATTGCTCCCTGCACCCCCACGCCACACCACACCCCACCACACCACACCGCCCTGCAGCGTACTCAACAACAACCAGCTGGCCGGGTCCATTTCATCGGCCATCTTCAACATGACCAATCTCGTTTCCCTGTGAGCCTCTGGCTGGGCGGTCTATAGTGTCAAGCAGAGTCGAACGCGCACAGCTCAGAGCTGACCGTCTTAGTGTCCGTCTGTCGTGCCATCCCTCGTCTCGCTCACCATGTCTCCCGTGCTCACGTTGCTCGCTTTGTTCGCCCATTCACTGTTCTCCATCACACCCCCGCTCACTTCAGAGCGCCTCTTGTGCCGACCAACCTCCAGTCCAGCACCTGAATCAATATCTCCTTCCCTGCCTGTCATCACCCTGCAGCTACCTCGCCAACAACCGTCTGAGTGGCAGTCTGCCGTCTGCCATCAGTCGTCTGGAGAAGCTCGAGCAGCTGTGAGCGCCCTTGCTGCCCACCCGTTCATCAGTCCGCTTCTTACCTTCCGTTTTCACACGCGCTCTCTGTCTGTTCTGCTCTCCCTGCTTCATATCATTCATAATTCTCCCCGTCCATGCGCGTGTACTGTACTGTACTGTCCTGGCCCACCTCCTGTCTATCCCATTAGCCCTGTGCATCTGGTCTGGGTGACATGATCCCAAGGCTCTCTCCTTAACTTTTCTCTGATCTCACTGCACTCCCTGATGTCCTTCCCTCTGTTCTCCCTTCTCCCTCTACTCTCCCTTTTCCCTCTGCTCTCACTGCTCCCTCTGCTCTCCCTGCTCCTTCGCCGCGCTCCCTCTCCCCTTGCCGCAGCTGGTTGGACAACAACAGCATTGAGGGTCCTGTGCCCCCTGCCATCTGCTCCCCTGCGCGGCTGTGGCGCATGTGAGTGCCTCTCACCTGCCTTCTGCTCTGGCTTCTGCGTACAACATTTTCATCACTCTTTTGAAGCGGTTCCGCTGTTGTATAAAGGTTTCAGAGTGATTCTTTTTTATGATTCTTTCTAGGTAATATGCTGACTTGGAATGCACTGTGCTGTGTACTGAGTGCTGTGTGCTGGCAGCATGATGAGCAACAACTACCTCTATGGGCCCCTGCCAGAGTGCATCTTCGACAAGTGTGTCAATCAGCTGTACGCTACTCTAACCCTCCTCTTGTCACTGCCTTCTGCTCTTCCACGTCAGCAAGTACTCAACCACACCTGCACTGCACCGTGTTATGCAAACACCTGCAATAGCAAGGGGCTTGACACGAGAGGCACATCCAGAACAATCGAACAACAACACTTGATTGAATCGCAATCACAATTACGCACTTGAACTCACGGATCGAAAGGCAAGCCACCACCCTTTTGACTGCTCCTCTCCTCAACCCTCGTGCTCCCCTTAGCGATGTGAGCAGCAACAGCCTGTACAGGCGCACCCGTTGACCTTCCCCTCTTCCCTGTCTTCCTGTTCCCCTGGCCTCCTCCTTTCCATACTCCGCTTAGCGATGTGAGCAGCAACAGCCTGTACAGGCGCACCCGTTGACCTTCCCCTCTTCCCTGTCTTCCTGTTCCCCTGGCCTCCTCCTTTCCATACTCCGCTTAGCGATGTGAGCGGCAACAGCCTGTACGGGCGCATCAACCGCAATTTCAAGAGCATGGTGGCTGACGGGGAAGCGCTCATCAACTTGGCTCACAACTTCTTCTTTGGAGATGCCGTGCTCCTCGCTGCCGGCTGCCAGGTCTGCCCCGCCGAGATCACCCAGCCCAACAACCTCGTCCTTTCGGACCTCAGCAGTGGCAGGGGAGCAGGGAAGTGTGTCGATGGCATATCCGGCACTCGAGATTACTCGGTGGCGGGGGAAGGCAAGGCTGCGAGGGTGAGTGTGGCGGGCAACTGCCTGGCGCTCAGCCCGGACGCGGAGTGCGCAGCCAACGCCACCCAGCGCAGCACGGCAGCCTGCCAGGCGTTCTGCAGCATCACAGACAACGGCCCGTGTGACGGCCATGGGGAGTGTGTGCCGCCTGCCCCCACCTCCCCCTCCAACTTCACCTGCCTCTGCCGTCCCGGCTACTCTGCCCTCGACTCGGGCAATGGCTCCACCTGCGCTGTTGTGAAAGCCGGCTCTAGTGGTAAGAGCACAACTCCTCCACTACACCCCACTCCAACACGGATCTATAGCTAGTAGCTACTCCAATCAGAGGCTTTTCTATTTATACTGCAACCATGGCTTTACATCTCCACATGTGCCATTGCTAACTGCTTGCAGCCAGACTACTTACTGTAACCCTTGCTCTCACCTCCTCCGCTCTCTCCTTCCCCCTCGTTGCTCAACCACCCCTCGGCAGTGTCCTCGCTCTCCACGGGCGCCATGGTGGGCATTGCTGTGGGCTGCTTTGCTGGCTTCGTTCTGCTGGCTGCTGTGCTCTCATGCCTGCTGTGGCCCCGTGGACCAAGTGAGACCCCCGCCTTAACGTCTATTCCTAGGCTGTGCCTATATGTGCAGACTATTACCTCACCACTCACCTTCGATTCCTGCAGCTGCAGCTCGGACTTTCACCAATCGCCTTTCTTTTCACTCTTTTGAGTACATGCAGGGAAGTGGGAGGGGCTGGACGTGTGTGAGCAGTACACGCTGCAGCAGATGGTGAAGGCCACAGACAACTGGGCCAAGGGCAACGTGCTGGGCAAGGGAGCATTTGGCATCGTGTACAAGGGGTGCTCGCCACAGGGGCAGACATGGGCCATCAAGCGCTCCACTGTGATGACCAACGACTTTGAAATGGAGGTAAGGGGGCCCTTCACCACGTCTCACTGCCGTTACATGTCAGCAAAGCAGCCCAATTCTGCTCTCTCGCTTTCTGTGTTCCGTTCTTGCCCGTGCCCTTACCAGCTGCTGATTCCGTCGTCTAGGTTAAGCGAAAGCTGATTTCTAGCCGTAGCGTGTCACTGAGGATAACACGCAGATGTGTTGTCTGGAAACGGAAAGCACTTGGCAGCTTTGTTCTGAATGCGTCACCTGCAGGTGCGGGCCATGGCGTCTCTCCACCATGTGAATCTGGTGCGGCTGCTGGGCTTCTGCCAGGATCTGAACGTGGAGACGGGCAATCAGGAGCAGATCCTGGTGTACGAGTTTGTGGCTAACGGAGACTTGCAGCACCACATTTACAGGAGCGAGAGTGAGTCGCAGTATGTGCGTCACAAGGCAGCTGAGCAACTTCCGTAGTGGTGTGCCCACTGTCCACCCAGCTGTCAAAGAGTTTTGCTCTGTGAGCAAAGACTCTGTGGTGACAGCTTAGTGTCTCCTTGTTCATCTCATGCTCCTCCCTTCCAGACCCTGTCACACTCCCCCAGTGACAGTGCCTGGTGAAAGGAGCAGCGGAAAACCTCGCGTACTTGCATGGGTTCAAAGTGCCCATCATCCGCAACACCCTATGTGCACCCATTTCTGTGATTATCATCTCTTCCAGACCCTCTTTCGCTGGGGGACCGACTGCGAATCGCGCAAGGAGCCGCGGAGGGGCTGGCATACCTGCATGGGTTTGCGACGCCCATCATTCACCGCGACATCAAGCCCGCCAACATCCTCGTGACGGCCGACATGCAAGCCAAGGTGGCTGACTTTGGGCTGCTCAAGCGGATCACTCACGGGGAGGATAATCAGACCAGGGTGGCCGGCACTCCCGGCTATGTGGACCCTGAGTACAACCGCACACGCGTGGTTACCACCAAGAGCGATGTCTTCAGGTAGGGTTGGTTCTGGGGTAAAACGTGCCCTGTTGTCATTCGCACGATTTCAATCTGATTGTTATCTTTCGCATCAGCCGTATGCATCAAGGCTGTTTTGCTGCTTGAACTTACCCACAACTACTCTCTTGCTTGCAGCTTTGGCATTGTGCTTCTGGCACTGGTGACTGGCAGGCCCCCTCGGGTTGAAGAGACACACATACGAACATGGGTACGTAAAACAGATGGGCAATATTGTGCAGAACACTCAGGCAATATAGTGCAAATCACATCGGCAATATAGTGCAAATCACATCGGCAATATAGTGCAAATCACATCGGCAATATTGTGCAAATTGTGTGGTCTGATTCCTTCTTGTACTAGCGTTACCTTGTTCTCATTCCCCCTTTCTGCTGCGTTGACTCATTCCAGGCAACCAAGATGGTGGAGGACTATCAGGTGATTGGCATGAAGGATAGCAAGCTAGACGCAACTGAAGAGGCCGTTCTTGCCATTGTAGACCTCGCTCTCGACTGCATCAAATCGCCAGGTGCTCGCAGGCCTGACATGAAGGACATTGCATACCGCCTCACAGCGCTCATTGATAAGTACTGCTCGGACAAGCAGTCAGAAGTAGAGGAAGTAACGGGTAAAGCAGTAGATGAGATTCCCTCCGACTCTTCTGCAGGGACTGGCACAATCTCACAGACTTCCACCATGAGTCTTGGATCTTTTATGAATGGCATGGGTAGCTGGCTGGAGAAGGGGCCAAGCTGATGGACTTTGCACAAACGTCAATTCACCACATGCTAGCTGCCGATCCCCAAGAATAGATGCTCCTTTAAACATGTAGTTGAGTTTTCCTCTTTTAGGGGGTTTAATTTATGTGCCATGTGTCTTCTGAGGAGGGATCCAAGTTTGTCTAGCTGCTAATATGATGCAGTTGGAAGTGTGATAGTTGCAAGGCTAGGTGCATATGACCATCTGTCAATCATACATTAGATGCTGGGGTTTCCCAGTCATGTTTATAGCACCCCCGATTCATTGATATGTGGTGGTAAGGATGTGTCGAGTGTGTACAACAGGTACCATATGGCCCCGGATAGTAGCGCATATGAGCTTACTGTACAATAAAATCGATTTTTTTAGGGGCTGACATGTAATTGAGTCTTGGGCATAAGCACATGCGCTTACGTAATGACAAATACCGAGTTATATGTTTATAGCATCAAAGTGAGCATCTCATTCCTTCCAATCAATCGAGTCGATGTTTTATAGCGTCAGGAATGAGAATCGCGCGCAAGCGATTCTCTGCCAACACACAGGGGCAATGACATGCCCGCCCCTATGCCAATACATTCTGTTCTGGCTGGACGCGCAGCTTGTATTCTTCGAGAGTCAACCGAACCCAAAAGGAATGTGTGCTACTAGCTTTAAAATCGGAATAAAATAAAATAAAATTATGCATACGCTTATAACAAATAATGGATTTCTAGGGGGTGCGCTTATAATCGAGTACCGGCCCTAAGCGCCATGCTCCAGGTATAAGCGCCGACGCTTTTAATAGGACGGCGCTTATCCGAGGCCATACGATATGGACCTGCCCTATTTGCTCAGCCCCCACTATCCGCCCTCCGTCCCTTGCAAAGTGTGGGAGGGCGTTTGGGTACAAGGTGGACCTCACCCATCACCTACGCACACACTCCCATTCCCACATTGCTTCCCTCCTCAATGCCCTCTGTCCTCACCCTTCCCCCGCTTCCTCCCGTGCAGCTTTACGGAGTGTGAGAGGGCGTTTGGGTAGAAGGTGAACCTCATACGCCACCTGTGCACACACTACGGCCAGCCAGCGCGGCAGCAGCAACACACACGGGCAAGCCCTCCCTAGCAGTTGCAAGAGAATATGCAGTTCAGCCCTGCCTGCGCAATGCATACACCCCAGAGGACGGCTTAAAGTGCCTCACACACCACCTGCGCACACAATAAGGGCAGCCAGCGTAGTAGCACCAGCACACGTAGTCAAGCCCTGGCTGCGTGATTCACACGCCTCGCACCAGCGCCTCACACGTCACCTGCACACACATTACGACCAGCTCGTGTGGTAGCACACTACAATTTCATGTATTGTTATCAGGCACCGAAATGGTACCATTAGTACCTTGAGGGCGGGCATACGATATGCAAGATCAAGCTGTGTGCAGAGCTGCTGATAATCACAAGGTGGGAGCGCCTTCGTGAAGATATCATCAGTGTTGTGTTGGACTATGAGGACAAGTAAACTATGCATGCCTGGCTGCACTACTGCAGCTCACGCAGCAAGAAATACTAGAGTTGGATATGATTCGCTCTGCCCTCTAGTCTAGGCTCCTTGAAACAAAGGGATCATGGCCTTCTTATCAGTGAACAGATCCGGGGTAGAGCTAGGCAGCTCACACAAGCCAATAAGGAAGAACATCAACCAGTGGAACTCCTAAGAAACCATAGCACCAACAGCATAGATCTATGCCTCACAGCAAGACAGTGCCACCGACGACGAGCGAATGGGCCTCCACAAGACAGATTTCAGCGCCATGATTGAATAGTAGCCGTAAGAGGACCGGAGTCTCTCGATGTTGTGTGCTTATGAAGCGTTAGTTTGTCTCGTGAGTGCAACTCGCTGTCGCCCACCAAGCACAAGCCCCATGCGTGATGTGCTAGCCAGATAGTGCAATACCTTCTTAGAAACCGGCCAGTGTTCAGGTCGGTGTCTCCCAGTCGCAACAAAACGAGCAAGGATGGCAAGAGAATGTGCGAGATATGGGAGAGTGCAAGTCATCAGGTACATTAGGCATCCCTCCAGCTTTGCATATTGACCACTGGGTTCAAATTACTTATCAAGAATAGGGGCTGAGAGCGTATGGCAACAGGAGAACAAGAGAATCAGAAGCCGAAGCACTGAGGATTTGCTGCACCATGTGTGGTTGAGTCAAAGCGATGGTGCGCACTGCTTTGACCCTGGTGATATGTATGCCAAGATAGCGGCACAACTCACCTAGGTCAGTGGAAGCGTGTCTTCTCAACGACTCGTCCTTTACGGAGGCCAGTGCGACCCTGTCTGGAGTAACAAATACCACGTCAAAGACGTAGAAGAGGATGTGAAATGGAATCGAGCCAAAGCAAACAAAGATAGACAGACCAGCAGAGGGCGGGTGTGGCAGTACATTGCCTGTTATGTCCTCTTTTCTCCTAATCGAATTTTTTATTTCTATTTTTTCACACTAGTTTCCCTGTTTGTCTACTTTAATATTTCATATTTTGGTATTATGCACTGAATTTGTTATGTGACATTGCGCGCGCGTGACTTTATTGAACCTGGAAGGCTCTATTTTCGCTAATTATAGAGCATCGGTACATTCTAGAAACATTATGGATACCTTTTTTGTATTGTGCCAATATAAAGTATCGTGGTTGTACCCAGGATTCAAAAATTACATTCGAAGTGAAGTCTCGGTCCTCTCACACTTGGTACTCATAGCTTATTTACACTTCCCAATTTTATTTCGTTGGTTCACACTCCCAAAAACCGGCAGGGGTGACAGCACCGCGCTTCGGTTTTAAATTCCCCTTGCATGATTCCCGAATAGGCATGCCGACGTGAATGGAGGAGGCTGGCGACTATTTCGTGCAAACATTCGTGCACTTGCGCGCCAAGGAGGAGCAGACTCGCAACGAGCCCTACCGATTGGCAACACTGTTTGTGAATTGTTTGCAGCCATAGCGAGTGTACCTGCGACGATAGCGACACCCACGAAACCGAGGCTACCATAGGCAACAGTGGCCATGACTATAACGTTTTTGGGCCCCTGAAACCGAGGCTACCAGAAGCAGCGACGTCCATCGATTCATCGCTACACTCGAGATCTACTTCGCAGCTATTGGATGCACGACCCAAGAACAGGCTATGACACGGGTACAACTCGCATCTACACTGATGTGAACAACGACACTAGAATGGATTTTTGCAGACAGTGCTTTCGTCAAAGGTGAAGGGCCGTGGGAGCAATTTTAGACTGACTCAATTCATCATTTCGAACCTCTAAATAGCACATATATGAATTAGGAGAATATTTATCGACATTCACAGTATACGAGTGTGATGCAGTGTATGAGAAGAAGTGAACGAGAATGAATGAACTATGAATGAAGTGAGTACAAATATGAAACCCTAATTGGGTTGTACCTCCTATGGGATACCCCACTATAGCCTACACAAATAAGTAAGCTATGATGTTCTGACACACCCCCATAGGCAAAGTGGGGGAGAACAAGGGGTCACAAGACCAGTCAAGCAAAGCAAAGCAAAGCTCAGGGTGGATCACAAAGTCACCACACATTCCGAGCACAAGTTCAAGGGCCACAAGGCCAGTTCACATGCAAGATCATATATAGAGATATAAAAGAGTCAAGCAAGCAAGAGCAAGAGTATATATAGGTCAAGGTACAAGCAAGGTCAAGAAGTGAGCAAGTGAGGCAAGACAGGCACAAGACCTAGCTGCGTGCAGCAACGCTGATGATCACAAGGCGCAAGTGCCTTGGTGAAGACATCAGCAGTGTTGGCCTCAGAGGCCACGTACGCAAGTCGCAACTGTCCACGCTGCTGTAGCTCACGAGCAAGAAAGTAGCGGAGAGCAATGTGCTTTGTTCTGTGCTCCAGTCGCTGCTCTCGACACAAGGCCAGCATGGCCTTGTTGTCTACGTACAGGACTGGAGGAGAACGAGGCGGCTCTCCAAGGTCGGTCAGCAGGTAGGTGAGCCAGCGAAGCTCCTGAGCAGCCATAGCCCCGGCGTAGATCTCAGCCTCACAACTGGAGTCGAGAACAGAAGACGAGCGAGTAGCCCGCCATGAAACAGAGCCGGAACCAAGGCCAAAGGTGTAACCCTGTGACGACCGCTGCGTAGCCTGGTCGTCAGCCCAAGAAGCGTCCGCGTGCCCAGTGAGGACCACTGGACTCCGCCCTCCAAGCACTAGCCCCATGCCCGACGTACTGCACAAGTAGCGCAACACCCTCTTCGCTGCAGCCATGTGCTCTAGTCGGTGTCTCCCAGGAGCAACATAGCGTGCGAGAATGCTGAGAGGGTATGCAAGGTCAGGTCGTGTGCAGGTCATCAGGTACATGAGGCAGCCAACAAGCTCTGCATACGGGCCACTCGACTCTACGAATTCATTCGAAGGCAGAGCTGAGAGCGAGTGGCGAGTAGGCAGAGGAGTGGCCTGAGGTGAGGAGTACGTGAAGCCGAAGCGCTGAAGGACCTGCTGCACCATGTGTGACTGAGTCAGGGTAATGGTACGGCGTGCTCCGTCCCGGGTGATCTGCAAGCCAAGGTAGCTGCGCAGTTCACCCAGGTCAGTGCACGTGTGTCTCTTCTACAGCTCGGACTTCACGTAGGCGAGTCCAGCAGTGTCAGCTGTGGCAAAGACCAAGTCGTCGACGTACACGAGGATGTAGAACGGCGGCAGAGAGGTGTCGGTGCGCAAAAACAGCGACGGGTCGGCAGTAGAAGGAGCAAACCCAAGTGCCGCAAGCGTAGTCCTCAGTGTGTCGTGCCACTCACGTGGCGCCTGGCAGAGACCGTAAACTGGACGCCGGAGACTCCACTGGGTACCAGGAGGGAAAGACCCATAGAAGCCAGGTGGGCGACGCAGCCAGATCTCCTCGTGCAAGCTGCCCTGCAAGAAAGCAGTGCTGAAGTCGAGAGAGTGCAGCTCATAGTCACGGTGAGCAGCAACGTGCAGCACTACCCGAAGAGTGGTCATCTTCGGGGTGGGGGAGAAGGTCTGAAAGTAGTCAACTCCCTGCCGCTGACTGAAGCCTCGAGCCACGTAACGCGCCTTGAAGACAGGCGGAGAACCCGGCGGCCGCTTCACCCTGAAGATCCACATGCCACTGACGATGTTCGCCCTAGGAGGGGGAACCGCGTCAACGTAGGTGTTTGTGGACTTCCAGGATGCCATCTCTGAATCCATAGCTGCCTGCCACTGAGAGGAGTAGGGACCCTCTATCGCCTCAGTGCATCCGGGTCTCCCTCAGGGGCGAGCAGTACAGACGCGAGATGAGGTGAAGCGGCGGCCAGACACTGGAACTCCTCCTGCCTGTCCTCAAGGACGTCCGTGCCTAGGGCACACTCACCCCCGACGGACGGAGGACAGGCAGACTCAGACTCAGCGAGAAGACTAGCAGCGTAGTCCAGACGACAGCGCGCAGCAAAGTCGACAAGCTCAGTGACAAGGGCAGACGCAGGAGAAGACTCGAAGGAAGGGTCAGTGACAGCAGGAGCAAGGAGACGCGTGACAGTGGGACTGGCAGCACGAAGAGAGTCCGACTCCGGGTCGGCAAGGGCAAGAAGAGAGGACTCAGGAGGAGAAGGCAAAGGGGCACGCAGAGGAGCAGTGGACGGACGCAGAGACATCCGGTGCGTGCCAGGGACAGAAGGAGGACGCTGACGTGAACCGCGACCACTAGTGCGTGCAGGACGAACAGGCGACGCAGGACGAGACGCAGGCTCACGACGCTCAGTAAGACCTCCAGTCGGACCAGCGTAGGGAGAAGGAGCAGGCAAAGGGGAGGCAGGCTGTAGCTGTGACTGGGACTGGACAGGCTGTGGACCCTCGAAGGGAGGCGGAGGAGGACCAGGAGAAGGTGTAAGACCAATAACCTGCTGCAGGAGCGGAACGAAGTACGGTCGGGGCCGCGTGGCGACGCCAGAAACAGCAGGGACAGCACCAGTACCTCCAGCAGGAGTACCTGCTCCAGCAGCACCTCCAGCAGCACCTCCAGCACCAACACTCTCAGCAGCACCAGCTCCAGGAGAACCCTCAGGCCCAGCAGCTCCAGCACCCACAGCACGAGCACCTCGGGGACGCGCGGCAGCAGCACCCTCTGCAGCCGAAGAACCTCCAGCACCAGCAGCATGCCTCCAGCGCCGGGCAAACCACTCACGCAGCTCCTGTGGGGATAGTGGCTCTCGGCGAGACGAAGCACCTCCAGGGGGAGAACCACCAGGCGAAGAACCTCTAGACTCAGCACCCTCAGGCAAAGCACCTCCAGGCGGAGCACCCCCAATCTCAGTCCCCCCAGGCTCAGCACCCCCAGGCTCAGCACCCCCAGACTCAGCACCCCTAGGCTCAGCACCCCCAGACTCAGCACCCCCAGGCTCAGCACCCCCAGGCTCAGCACCCCCAGGCTCAGCACCCCCAGGCTCAGCTCCCGCAGCAGCACCAGAGTCACCAGTGACCTCGACAGGCTCGACCGCGTCTACCTGGGACACACCTGAAGGGGCAGGACCCTGAGAGGGGGGGGGGGTCTACCGGGGGGGGGGACCTGGTACCAAGAAGAGCGGGGGCGGTGGGAGGGACGGAGTGCGGTAGGGGAAGAGGCGGTAGTAGGGTACCGACTCGTCGAACGTGACGTCCTGGGAGGATAGAACACGTCGAGAGGTGGGGTGGTAGAACTGCCACCCAGGGGCGTCGAGGGGGAACCCCAGGAAGACGCAGGGAGCAGCGCGAGGGGACAGCTTGTCCGCAGACAAGTCGCGGACTAACGCCCGAGATCCCCAGACCCGGAACGCCGACGCATCGCCAACCTTCCCCGTCCACAGCAGGGCTGGGGAGGTCTCCGGCCTGGAGACCCTGGGGTGGAGGTTGATCTGATGCGCCGCGTACCTGACCGCAAACGGCCACAGAAAATGGGGGGCAGCCGCATGCATCATAGACGTACGAGCGACGTCCATGACCATGCCAATGCGGCGCTCTGCAATCCCATTTTGCTGCGGTGAGTCCGGAAGCGTGAAGGTCTGGTGGATGCCTCGCGCACGTCAGAAGGCACGCAGAAGGCCAGAGGAGAACTCTCCGCCTCTGTCCGAGTGCAGACGCAACACAGGAAAGTCCGAGCCAAAGCTCTGCCTGAGCTGGAGACGAGCTGCGCGGATCCACTCGATCAGCACCTCAGTGACATCACCCTTGCTGCGCAAGGGGAAGACTGTGGTGTAACGCGAGTAGTCGTCAACCACCAACAGGAAGTAGCGCTCGTGACCGAGTCCACGGACGCGGGCAGGGCCCCACACGTCCATGTGAAGTGTCTGCAACGGAGCCTCTGTCGGAGGAAACTGGGAGGAGTGAGGGGCAGCACGCAGGCGCCCCTTGACGCAGGGGACACAGGCAGGGCCAGGGCCCTGAGGAAGGGGAGGGAGGGACCGGGGGAGACCAGACACAAGAAGACGGGAGGCCATGCCTCTGAGCCGAAGCAAAGAGGGGTGGCCAAGGCGGTGGTGCCAGAGGAGAGTCTCGTGAGACAGACGGTGACACGAGCAGGGGGCAGACTCAGGACTAGACATGGACGCTGCAGCAAACACCTGACCAGACGAAGGGACTCTACCAGACTCAGCACCGGGAGGAGAAGTAGTGGTCAGTGTGTACAGGCTCGACCCTGGCTGACGTGTAAACGTAGCCAGGTGGCGACCTGTGCTAGCCTCTGTGCAGTGCGTCACCCGCTGACGAGCAGGAGTGAACTGGTGGACACCCACATCCTGTAGGTCAGCACCACTCACCAGGTTCGTAGAGAACGAGGGGAGGTAAAGACCAGTGAGGGTGCCAGAGGGAGCCGCCGGACACGGGAGGAGTGTGGAGAAACGAGACAGGACAGGACCCCCAGAGGGGTCAGCCAGGGACACCGCAACAGGCCGACTAAGCGGCGTGAGAGTGGTGCGGTGCCGAAAGAAGGAGCGAGACGCCCCACAGTCAAGGGTGAAGGTGTGAGAGGCAGAAGCCGACACAGTACCTGAGAGGGCAGACTCACCAGTACCTGAGAGCACAGACGCACTGGCACCTAGAGCAGCAGCCTCACTGGTACCTGACGCAGCAGTACCAATGCCCGGGTCGGGCGGGAAACACCGGTAACAGTCACCATCATCACTAACAGCCACAGCATACATGGCAGCAAGGATAGCATCAAAGTCAAGATCAAAAACAGCTACACCAGCCCTAGACAGCTCTCCCCAGCGGGGGATCTCAGAGGCCTCCGGAAACTGCTGGCGCCAAGCGTCGGTCAAGCGGGCAAAGCAGCGACGAGCGGTGTGGGTGCCCCCACACTGCTCACCTGCGCGGTCGCCGGTGCGAAGGACGTAGGCGTAGGGACCGAACGCCCCACCACGCTGACGCTGCGAGTACCACTCACGGAGCTGCTGAGGGGCGGGGACGTCGCGAGAGCGCTGCTGCTGCTGCTGCTGCTGCTGCTGGCGCTGACCACCCCCAGTGCTGCCCTGCTGGGACGAGCCTCTCCGACCACCTCCACCACCGCCACCTCCGCCTCCGCCGCCACCGCTACCCTCGCCCCCGCCGCTCCCACTGCCACCTCCGTCACCACCTCCGCTGCCACCTCCGCCTCCACTGCCGCCACCAGTACCTCCACTCCCGGCTCCACCCCCACCGCCACCCCCACTCCCCCCGCTGCCCCAACCTCCTCCGCCACCGCCCCCGCTAGCTCCACCCGCTCCCTTGCCTCCCTTGCCCCTGCCAGAGCGGCGCCTACCGCTGGGGGCAGACGCCGCACCGACCGACTCTAAACCAACGAGGTCGGCCGCAGCAGCAGAGGCGACATAGGGTAACAGGGGGGAAGGAGAACACCCCTCAAAGATGGGGGTGCGCGGGTCACCACGAGAGGCCCCTACAACGACTATGCTCTTCTCGGCCGCTAGCAGGGACTTCTCGAGGAGGTCGACAGTGAGGGTGGTGGGACAGACAAAGAGAAACTGGTCCCTAACAGCACGAAGGGACTCAGGGAGACAGGTGACTAGAAAGTAGAGGGTGATGTACATGGGAGGGGGGTTTTCAGAGAGGAAGGCAGCAGGAAGCGCAGCTTGGTAGCGAGTGTCACTAGCGCGAAGGTGGGTAAAGAGGTCAGTGACTGTGGGAAAGGCAGCAAGGTCAGGGAAGAGGTACGGTAGCATGAGGCGGCTCAGTGTAGCAGTGGAAGGGGAGGAGTAGCGCGCAACTACAGCGTCGTACAAGGCCTGAGCGGTCTTGCACTGACTAAAGTGTGCACGCTCGGAGGAAGGGAGGTGGCGACGCACAGCAAGACGTGCAGCAGCATCGCGTGTGGCCCACTTGGAGCGAACAGTGGGGTCAGCATCAGCAGGAGGGGCAGGGACAGCGCTAGAGACAAAGTCAAAGAGAGAAACCTCATCGATCGCATCGCACAGTAAGTACAGCTGCAGGTCCTCAATCTAGACTGCAAAGTCAATGGCGCGACCCTCAGCGTCAAAAGTCAGGACAGTGGGGGTGGCCATTGGAGCAGCTGACAGTCTCACCGGGCAGGAAGAGTCGGGAAGCACAGCGGCACAGCAACAAGGCAGTACAGCAGCTGCGCCGGCCCAGGTGCAGTGGGAGCCCCACAGGAGCAGAAGATCGGCTCCTCGGGCGGCTCGGGCGGCTCAGGCGGCTCGGGCGGCTCGGGCGGCTCGGGCGGCGTGGGCGTCTGGCGGGCGGCTCACGGGCGGCTCGCGGGCGGCTCACAGGCGGCAGCACGGGCGGCTGGCGCGGCGAGCGGGCGGCTCACGGGCGGCTGCACGGGCAGCCGAGGCGGCTCACGGGCGACTGGGGCGGCTGCACGGGCTGCTGGGGCGGCTCGAAGGCTGCTCGCGGGCGGCTGCACTGGCGGCCGCACGGGTAGGTGCACGGGCGGGTGCACGGGCAGCCGCACGGGTAGGTGTACGGGCAGGTGCACGGGCGGGTACACAGGCGGGTGCACGGGCGGGCACACGGGCGGCTGCACGGGCTGCTCGTTGGGCGGCGCTAGGGCGGCGCGTGGGCGGCGCGTTGGGCAGCGCGACGGGCGGCGTTAGGGCAGGCAGCGGGCAGCGCTACGGGCGGCGCGTTGGGCAGCGCGACGGGCGGCGCTAGGGCGGCTGCACGGGCAGCGCGACGGGCTGCGCTAGGGCGGCGCGTTGGGCGGCGCTAGGGCGGCGCGTCGGGCAGCGCGTCGGGCGGCGCTAGGCTGGCGCGTCGAGCGGCGCTAGGGCGGCGCTAGGGCAGCGCGTCGGGCAGCGCTGTGGGCGGCGCGTCGGGTGGCTAGCACTAGAGTAGGCAGCGGACGAGCGCTAGGGCGCTAGGGGCGGCGCTCACGTTCAAGGGCGGGCGGTGCGCTAGCGGCTAGGGCAGAAAAAAAGACGTTTCAAGGTGGTGGGCCCTAAGCACAGGTCCCACAGGGGAACCTGCTCGATACCATGAGAAGAAGTGAACGAGAATGAATTAACTATGAATGAAGTGAGTACAAATATGAAACCCTAATTGGGTTGTACCCCCTATGGGATACCCCACTATAGCCTACACAAATAAGTAAGCTATGATGTTCTGACAGTGTACGCAACGGATGGAGATATGTTACAACCAGATTTGCCGACCTAACCGAAGCAGAACATAATCAAAGCTACATCGTAGGGTTGAAATAGGGAATCTGACAGCATGTGGCTACGGCATATTACTCGAGCTACAAGGACGGGGTCAGCGTGGCCGAGCAGTTTGATATGATGGTCGGCACGCGTGGAGCGATGGGCACCACCCACGACTGCCGACCCAATTTATATCGACAAAACCGATGCGAACCAATGCCTGGTAAAATTTACTCGAACAAATATTGTGCTGCTACTGGACATCAATTTTTGGATTATTACAAAATGTAACGTTCGCCAATTGCACGCTCGGAACTATGGAGCACATCTCACGATTGGATCTCCTCGTTATCGAATGTCAACCATGCGTAGGCGTCGACGGAGACCGGCGTTTTTAGGCCTCTCCCGGTCTACTCCTCGTCGATGAACTGCCGACGCAGCTTGTCAACGTAGGCCTGCTGGTGAAGCCACAGCTTCCTTGCTAGTCGGCCGCGCACGATATCCAACCCGAGGTACTTCTTGACAGGGCAGATCTCGTGTAGCTCAAGGCGGCGTCCAGCGGCTCATTCAACTCCTTCAGCATCGCGAGGCTGCTGTTGGCGGTGAGCAGGTCGTTGACGTAGACGAGCAGCGCGCACACTACTCTGTTGTCGCAGACCTTGCTCTTGCTCCAGCCAGCTTCGGTCAGTACCGCATTGAGCGCCAAGTACTACAGCAGCGGACTCAGCTTCATGCCGTACAAGCTCTTCAGCAGATAAGATGCGGCCGGTTCCGTCGTTGTAGTAGTCGAGCTGGTACATATAGAGGACGCTATCAAATTTGCTTTGCAAGAATGCTTTCTTCATGTCAAGCTGCATCAGGTGCAGGTCGAGGACGGCAACGGTGAATAGGAGGATTTGCAGCATCACATAGTTCCCCACTAGCATGTACGTCTCGTTTTAGTCGGCGTCGTACACCTGCTGGAAGCCTTTGACGGCCAGGCAGGCCTTCTTGCAAGCGACTGTGTCGTTGACGTGGTACTTTGTCATGAGCACCCAGCGGTTCTTCATGATGTTGACACCGCGTGGACGCTTGACCGTTTCCCACGTTTCGTTGGCGATGAGGCTCCTGGTCTTTTCGCCCATGGCGGCCTTCACCGCCTTGCTCTTCTAGCTCGCCAAAGCCTCCTTCACCGTCATGTTGGCAATGTCCCAGCGGTGCTCCGGGTCGGTGTGCATGTCGGGGTCGAGCTTGGGCAGGTCGACATCGGCCTCTGCGTCAATGAGCAGCATGATGTAGGAGGTCGGCGGAAGGCAATCGTAGCAGCTCAACTTCACTGCGGGCTTGCCGAGGTTGGAGCGGGTAGAACGCATCGACTTTACTTCTTCGACCAGGACCTAAACCAAGTCACTGTCGTCGGACTGCTCCCCTGCCGACAGCTCCCCTTCCTCTCGACCAAGTACTTCTATGATGTCGCTCGATGCTTCATCGTCGAGCTGGTCTACGATAGTCGGCTCCTTTGCCGACTTTGCATCTGTCGCCGGATCCTCTGCCGACTTCTCCTCTGCCAACTTTGCCAAATGCTTCCCTGTCGTCGGCGACTTCACTGCCCAGCGCTCCCCTGTCGTCGGCGGCTTCTGCACTTGGCCGTCGAGACGCATCTCGTCATGTCGGCCGCCAGCTATGCCACTGGCCAACGACGAAGGCGACGCAGCAATGCTCCCTTCATTGCTAGTGGCTGACGGCGATGCCAGCTTCGACAAATCAGCAGCAAGGGGCAGAGGGGAGGCAAAATTCAGAGGGAGGAGGGGCGTCCTCAACGTCTTTGACTTTGACGACATGCAAAGAGGTTGTTGTCGACGGGGGATACTTCGTCGTGACAACGTGTTTCCGCGTCGAAGTTGGCACATGCATTGCCTTCCACACCTCCAGCGATATTGTCTCGAAGAAGATGACCTCGATCATGGCCACTTTGTTGGGTGAGGTCAAGCACCTCCTAGCCCGTGCTCTTCGGCGACACACCGAGATGAAAGCCTCACCGGGCCTTCGGTGCCAGCTTCCCGCCACGCTGCTGCTCTGAGACCATGAACTGTACCATGCAACCCCACACGAGTGCCAGCGTCAGGTCCGATCTCTTCTCGAACAACAGCTCATGTTGTGTCGTCCCCGAATGAAGTGACGCCCGTTCGAGGCAGTTGCGCACCCAGAGAGCCTGACGTAGAGCAAGGTGCCACTAGTGGTGCTTCACGCCCATATGAAGCAGCATCGTCTGCACTGTCTCGACGAGCATACGCATCTCACGCTCCACCATCCCGTTTTGCTGCGGAGCATAGGGGCACGCCAGGTTGTGGAGGATGCCCTTGTCATCGACGAGGTTGGTGAAGGATTGACTGAAAAACTTCTCTCCGTGGTCAGAACGCAGCATTTTCACCATCTTCGATGTCTGCCACTCCACCACCTTCAGCCAGTTTTCGAAGGCGACCATCACGTTGCTCTTCTTCACGATCGGCGTGACCCATACGTAGCGATTCTTCTTGTCCTTTACTAGGAGAAAGTGGAGGCTGCCATCGTTGGCGACCACTTGAAACTGCTCGTAGAGGTCGATGTGCACCACGTCGAGCGCATTCTCGGCATCCGTTCTTTGGTCGGGGTAGGTGTGCCGCGCCAGCTTGCCGCCGATGCAGGAGGGACACGGCAGGTTAGCTGCGGTCGACTGCTTGATGTCTAGCTTAACGGCGGCCTCATGCTTCACTGAGCTCTTGATTGTGTCAACGCCGATGTGCGCAAGCCGACCGTGCCACATGTACGGGGTCGACTTCATCGCCGAGGCGATCGTTCGCAGAGCCACCACCTCTGTCGAGGCCGACGTGGACTTCGTCAAGCAAGGTCGAAGGTCGGTGTAAAGGACCTGGCCGGTATACTTCGCTCGACCAAGCACGATTCCTACTGCCGAGACAAGCAGCATGTCGTCTCCGACATCTTGCAGCTTCATGCCGGTGTCCTTCAACTAGCCGACTGACAGCAGGTTTGCTTGCACGCTCGGGACGTATGGTACACCGGGAACAAGAATCTGCTTCCCAATCTCCACTTGCAGAGCGACGGTGCCACGGCTTTTGACGTGCGTGATGTAGGACGCCATCAAGTAGTCCACGCCGCCATCCGCATGTCGTCTAGGATCCTTTGAGCGTGGTTGCAGTAGTCCGTCGCAGACTCCTGCTCGCTCATCCTGAAGTGAGTTAGACACTCTTCCAGTTGGCCAATGTACAGGTCCTCGGTCGCCTGGTACATCGACACAATGAACTGCCAAGCTTGATGGTCGGTGTCCATGAAAAGACTGCACGGCTTGAGGGCGACATGCAACATTGGCGAGCAGCAGCGCGAGACGACCATGAATTTCTGCAGATGGGCCGCGCGAGATTCTACCCGCAACTCGACGTCGGGCTTGTACGTCTTGATTCATCATTATCGTGCCCTCGTCGCTGTCGACTTGGTCACTGCCATTGACCTGCTCGTCGATGCCACCTTCGTTGCGTTCCGGTCGAGGAGATGCAGACACATTGTCCACTCCAGCACGAGGTGTCGGATGCTCACGCGCCCACTGCATACGAGTTTCTAGGAGCAACACCTCCACGTTCGCTCCACCGTACTCGCCATTTGTATGGCATCTCCTAAAATCAGCCAACCGAGCCTCCAAGCTATCCCCTACCATGCCGGCCTCTGCTGGGATAGGCGTCATGGTCTGCACCGGGTGCCGACCTAACAACGACCTAGATAAGTGATATGTCGGGTGTCAAAGTATATATATGCTATATGTGTT